TGAGATAATACAGCTCCTGCTGATGTATATTTAACTCGTGTGATTCATCATGTACGGCAACACTTCAATGACAATTTTACCTGATTTACTTGAGGGCGACTAACCCTAGTGGCCTCGACAAGGACATGAAGTCGGTGGCTTGTCAAAAGTTCCCTCAAAAAAGTTCAAATGTCTTGATGATCTTTTCCAGATATATTTTAAAACTCAACACAGTTTTGACAGTTACGGCTTCGGCGGGTAGGCAGTTCCATGGGTTTATAACCCTGTGGGTGAAAAAGCATCGCCTGATGTCAGTCCTACATTGTAGCTTGTTGAGCTTGAAACCATTGCTCCTTGTTTGTGGTACATCTGACCTCCTGAAGAAAATATCTGGATCAACATCCTTTAACTTTTTCAGTATTTTAAAAGTTTCAACGAGATCTGCCCTGTCATGCCTGGTTTGTAGGGATGTTAGCTAATTGGTTGACCTTGCTGAACTGCTCTAAGCAGCATTCGGCAGCACTGCACTGTTCCACCTCACTGATGCATAGCAGACAGGTTCATAACTTGGTGCTCTTCAATGTCGGCGCTCCAACCAACTTGGGGGCACTTAACAAGGTGTTTCAATGCCAGCCTTTAGGCGACCCCAGGGACACCAATAGAGACTCTGCTATTATCACTTGATGTTTGGGCCCTGTGTTTGTAACTATCAACCGGTCCACTCCATGGTTCTCGGCCTCGCCTCTCTGGAATGGTTTCAGTGGACTTTGCTCTTCGCGGACATCGAACAGACAATCCTCAGGTGGGATTTCATGCAACACCATCGGCTCATCATGGACCCTGCTGGTGTTGCCCCCAGCAAACTTGCACAGGTTAACTGTATCATTTCTGCTGCATCCCTAGACTTGCTGGCATTGCTGGACAAGTTCAAAGATACAATCTAGCTCGCTGTCTCTCAGGTGAGGTGCAACACTCCGTCACTCTCCACATAAGCACATTTGGAACACCCACATTTGCCAGACCACAATGCTTGGCTCCAGAATAATTGATAGCAGCCCGCATGGAAATCAACAAACTGCAGAAGGCGGGAATAATCTGACCATCAAATAGCCCATGGACCTCGCCTCTCCCACATGGTTCTAAAAGTAGCCCCAGGGGTCTCTCTCTCTCCCTCACACGAGGACTAGAGCCCTCAATGTCTGCATTCTATTGGACCGTTACCAAATATCACTCATCCAGGAATTCTCCAACAGACTGGGCAATTCCACCACCTTTCAGAAGATTGAGCTGGTCCGGAGATTTCACCAGATTGCGGTGGAATCTGCAGACATCCCTAAGACAGCGATCAGAACACTCTTCGGCCTGTTTGAATTCGTCCGAATGCCTTTTGCCTTATGCAACATGGCATTTCAGACGCCAGTGTTTCCAGCGTTTCATGACTAGGTGGTCAAGGGCCTCCCCTTCTACTACTCATACATCAGCAAACTCTTGATGGCCAGTCAATCACCAACAGACCATTTGATACACCTGCAGCTTCTCATCCACCTTTGTAATTATAGTTTATAATTCAACCCCAGGAAATGCATTTTCAGTACCCCAGAACTGGTTTTCTTGGGACACTATTTCAGCAGCATGAATTCAACAACTTGAAGAAAAAACCCAGCGTTGAATGTAATGGCACACCTCTTTTTGGTAGAGCCCTGGTGGCTTCCTGAAGTTACCTTACTGAGATTGCTTCATGTTAATGGGTCACATCAAATGCAAATGTTTTATTTAGCCAACCAAGACCAGTGCTACAATCTGAGCCGGGGCCCCCCCCCCCCCCCCCTCCCTCATAGAAGTACATGAAGTGAGGACAATTCGCCACCCCACAGGAAAAGCATCCAGAAAATCATTGAAGCTTTACAATCAACTTGAGGGTTCTCAGAAAATGAAGCCTCAAAATCACAAAACAACTCCACAAACATTTCACACGGAATAGAAGATGCATTCAAACTAGCTCGAAATTTGTTAGAGGTCTAGCTTCTACCCCACAGCCGACTTCCCTACTCAGTTCTGGAGCTGATGAATAACCCACTGACAAACAAAAAACCGATGAACCTAGATGGAAGAGAATCAGTGAGCCACCAGAGCTCTATCAGAAGGAGGCATTTTTAGAATTAGAATTAGAATATTTATTTAGGTAAAGGTACATACATAAAGAGATTTTACAAAGTTTGTTAATTGGCTTTATAGATAGAGCTAGTACATACAATGCCTAAAGCCACTATTACGCAAAGCGTTTCGGACAGGAAAAAACACTAATGACTAAAGCTTAAAACTAATGGGTAAAAAGAAAAAAAATGCGTTGAGTACAACGTTATTTTTAGAAGAAATATAAATATTTTTAGAAGAAATATATTTTATAAGAAATTTCATTATATTCATTGCAGTGGAAGAGTTCTCTGGTGGCGCCCTGAAGCTAACCACATAGAATAAGAGGGACTTACCAGGGAGGAGAGGCAGCAGGCACTAGGACGAAGAAGAAGAGAACCCAGACCAGGAGACAGCCCAAAACTACACAAGACCAACTGGGACCGGGAACATTAACTAAATACCAGCTTAGCAAAACCCCAAGGCCTGAATATCAGCCCGGAACATTTTTAGAAGATCATGGCCAAAGCCACATATTTATGAACATCATGGGCCCAAGGGTTGATCACAGGTTGGCTAGACAACAATACTGCAGACAACAAGGCAGAACCGGTGGCCTCAGGTAATGACAGAGAACTGCTGGTGGACACAACAAATGACGCATCCCTGGCCAAACTAACCAAAAGACCACCGCCGGAAGCCAGCCAACAATTCATTATTTGCCAGAAAAGAAGAAGGCTGCAAATGAACAAGCCGCCCACCAGGGGCAAAAGGACAAATCCCCCACCTCCGGAGAAGAGCCTGAAGCCCCACACCATATGACTGGAAGCAAGAGCCAACAAAAACACATTCTTGAGAGAGAGATTAACTAAATGGAAAACCATAAACCCGAGATAAGGAGAGAAAGACCAAAACTCGGCCAAGAAACCAGGATAGCTAAGAAGCATGAACCGGCTGGAGGGGACAAATGGTACAAGACAACTTGCAGAACGGGGGGCCTAGGGGCCTCGTAGCCTGGTGGATAAAGCGCAGGACTCGTAATTCTGTGGCGCGGGTTCGATTCCCGCACGAGGCAGAAACAAATGGGCAAAGTTTCTTTCACCCTAAGTGCCCCTGTTACCTAGCAGTAAATAGGTACCTGGGAGTTAGTCAGCTGTCATGGGCTGCTTCCTGGGGTGTGTGTGTGTGTGTGTGGTGTGGGGAAAAAAAAAAGTAGTTAGTAAGTTAGTAGTTAGTTAGTAAGCAGTTGATTGACAGTTGAGAGGCGGGCCGAAAGAGCAAAGCTCAACCCCCGCAAAAAACACAACTAGTAAACACAACTAGTAAACGGTGCCAAGGAGACGGCGACGCCGAACTCAATCAACAGTGGTTTCGATAACCCCAAACTATAAGAGGGGGACAGTATTAGGCATGAGATGCTGATCAAAAAACAATCAGGACAAAATGGACAGGGCAACCCTGACCAACCCTGAAGGAAGACAATGAAAAGACAGATGGTGGTAAAACCAGCAACATGTGACCACTGGAGGACCAACAGGTAAATATTGAAGAGCAGAAAGGAGAAAATCCTTTGTTAGAGAAAAAAATCCTGCATTAAAGAAAATTCTGTACCAGAAAAGAGAAAATCCTTTATTGAGAAAATCCTGTACCAGTGTAGCGAGTAAACATTATACTCGCTCCAAGCTCTCATTAGCCTAATGACAAACTCATTAGCAGTAACTACGAAAGCTATCATTTTTTTCCCTAATTACAGGTAACAATTCTTCCATCCTTCTATCTTATTGGAGGAAGCTGAGGTGTTGTCACCAAATATAAGCAAGCGATATGCAAAAAACCAATTACGGGCTATTCATGCCCGTGCCACCTCTTGGGTGGCTTAATCTTCATTAATCGAATAGCCAACGGTACAATTTCCACAGTTATTCAGTTAACTTCAGTACAGACACTTAGGACTTGTCACATCTCTTCAACCTTAAGAATGTAGCACTCGGCGTGTACAGTTCTAATCGACCCCATGACGCTATAGCTTCGACACAGCAGACAGCAGACTACGACTGCATCGAGCTTCAATGCTCTCGCTCCCCATCGAGTTTAGACACTCATGATTCCCCATCGAGCCGCCACACACTCCCGCATAGAGCTCCACGACTCCAGCCTCATTCAGCTCTGCCTGCTCCAAGCTCCGTCTGAACGTCTACGACAATGCCAACAACCGACTACTGTTATCAAGACTACTAAATATATATGAAACCCACTAAACACTGTGTATCTAGTCTACTCAACAACGTAACATAATCGTACATTACACCAGAAAGGAGAAAATCTGCTTTGAAGAAAATCCTGTACCAGAAAGGAGAAAATCCTAGTACAGAACAAAATCATTTATGAATATAAATACAAATGTTTTGAAAAGAACTGCTAATTTTAGTAATATATATATATATATATATATATATATATATATATATATATATATATATATATATATATATATATATATATATCTATGAGTGAGGTGGGAATATGTGGCATTACATAGTGAGGTGGGAAGGATGATGTGGCATTATATATATATAAAAGTACAAATGTCAGACCACGGAGGAAATATGAAACAGGAGATTTCCTTAAGTACTTTCGTATATTAAATACATCTTCAGATAGGTCTTCAATAAGGCTCTTCAGAAGGTCAGAAGGTTATGGACCTTCTGAAGATGTATTTACCCATATACGCTCCAATAAGTAGCATTAAGGAAATTTCCTGTTTCACTTTTTCCTCCGTGGTCTGACATTGTCACATTCTTAATCACGTATTCTTATTTTCGTGATATACACACTCAAATATATATATATATATATATATTTACACAATGTGAGATGTACTAACTTACCACTCCTGTGTAACGCGGAACATAAGGCCGCAAAATATCTGCAGAAATGGACTCTAATGCCTTTTCCTCTACAGGACATAACTTCTTCAGGATGGTTCCTTGCTTATATCCAGCTCGGAAATTACCTGAAAGTAAAATGTATGTTAGAAGAATGACATCCATTTAATAATAATAATAATAATAATAATAATAATAATAATAATAATAATAATAATTTTATTTAAAAATACACATAGGAAGAACATGATACCGTAATTGTTGATTTATCACCTAACAGTGAATATTTAATAAAGCCACTAGTATACTAGTATGCGAGGCATATGTAACATACCCAAGAGACTAACACCACAACGTCCTACCCAATATACAGGAGAGTAAATGTGCTCGGCTCACAACCGATTTTATTCAAATTTCTGGAGTTACAGATAATAATTCCCTTATTAAGACTACTCAATAGCTCGATCAATAGAGCTTCGATCTCACACGCGTGGGGTCTATGGTTCGAGTCTCCCAGAGCCCCAGTGAATGGAATAATTTCTATCGTCAGGGGATAGGAAGCATGTACTGAGGCTTATTGAGGTCCCCCCCCCCCCTTGGCCAACTGCTGACCTTCGCCATGATGCAACCCACAATAGTTGCCTAACTCCTGGGTGCCTATTTTACTGCTGGATGGACAGAGGCACTAGGTAAAAAAGAAATGTGCCCAACTGCTGACCTTCGCCATGATGCAACCCACAATAGTTGCCTAACTCCTGGGTGCCTATTTTACTGCTGGATGGACAGAGGCACTAGGTAAAAAAGAAATGTGCCCAACTGCTTCTGTCCTCCCAGGGGATTGAACCTGGGTCCTTAGATTGTGAGCTGAGGACTTAGACTACTGTGCTACAGAACTTTTTCTTGTGGTTTCTATAGCTCTCCCTCTCGTAGGCTCTATACTTTCCCCTCTCGTGGCCTCTGTACCTTCTGCTCTTTTGGTTTCTGTAGCTTCCTCCTGAGGTTTCTATACTTTCCTCTTGAGGTTTCTATAGTTTCCTCTTGAGGTTTCTATAGTTTCCTCTTGAGGTTTCTATACTTTCCTCTTGAGGTTTCTATACTTTCCTCTTGAGGTTTCTATACTTTCCTCTTGAGGTTTCTATACTTTCCTCTTGAGGTTTCTATAGTTTCCTCTTGAGGTTTCTATAGTTTCCTCTTGAGGTTTCTATACTTTCCTCTTGAGGTTTCTATACTTTCCTCTTGAGGTTTCTATACTTTCCTCTTGAGGTTTCTATACTTTCCTCTTGAGGTTTCTACAGTTTCCTCTTGAGGTTTCTATAGTTTCCTCTTGAGGTTTCTATAGTTTCCTCTTGAGGTTTCTATACTTTCCTCTTGAGGTTTCTATAGTTTCCTCTTGAGGTTTCTATACTTTCCTCTTGAGGTTTCTATACTTTCCTCTTGAGGTTTCTATAGTTTCCTCTTGAGGTTTCTATAGTTTCCTCTTGAGGTTTCTATAGTTTCCTCTTGAGGTTTCTATACTTTCCTCTTGAGGTTTCTATAGTTTCCTCTTGAGGTTTCTATAGTTTCCTCTTGAGGTTTCTATACTTTCCTCTTGAGGTTTCTATACTTTCCTCTTGAGGTTTCTTGAGGTTTCTATAGTTTCCTCTTGAGGTTTCTATACTTTCCTCTTGAGGTTTCTATACTTTCCTCTTGAGGTTTCTATAGTTTCCTCTTGAGGTTTCTTTCCTCTTGAGGTTTCTATAGTTTCTATACTTTCCTCTTGAGGTTTCTATACTTTCCTCTTGAGGTTTCTATAGTTTCCTCTTGAGGTTTCTATAGTTTCCTCTTGAGGTTTCTATACTTTCCTCTTGAGTTTCTATACTTTCCTCTTGAGGTTTCTATAGTTTCCTCTTGAGGTTTCTATACTTTCCTCTTGAGGTTTCTATGAGGTTTCTATAGTTTCCTCTTGAGGTTTCTATGAGTTTCTATACTTTCCTCTTGAGGTTTCTATAGTTTCCTCTTGAGGTTTCTATACTTTCCTCTTGAGGTTTCTATACTTTCCTCTTGAGGTTTCTATACTTTCTATAGTTTCCTCTTGAGGTTTCTATACTTTCCTCTTGAGGTTTCTATACTTCCTCTTTTCTATACTTTCCTCTTGAGGGTTTCCTCTTGAGGTTTCTATACTTTCCTCTTGAGGTTTCTATACTTTCCTCTTGAGGTTTCTATACTTTCCTCTTGAGGTTTCTATACTTTCCTCTTGAGGTTTCTATACTTTCCTCTTGAGGTTTCTATCCTCTCGTGGCTTTAAATTAACCTATAATGAGCAGCTTATATTTATACACACCAAAACTCATTTATATAAGTTTAACCTGAGCTTGACATAATCCCACGTGGATAATTTGCCATAATGGAAAACTGACAATGACGAACAGGCCTATTGGCTGCATACGCTTAAGCCTAACGCCCAGGGACATATTGGGGTCCTGCCAAAATTAGGTATAAAAATAAAAAAAGCATGTTCTAAAAATCATCACTGTATTCTTTGACAGAAAGTAGAAGAAACAATTATGAAAGAAATATAATTACGAATTGTAAATAAAGGTATTTTTGGCTTGCAGCATTAAGACTAATTTCGTGACAATCAGGTTTGCGCAAATGTTCTGACTCGCGCACATCGTGGGAAAGTCTGATTCCCGTACATCGAGGGGGAAGTCTGACTCCCGTACATCGAGGGGGAAGTCTGACTCCCGTACATCGAGGGGAAAGTGACTCCCGTACATCGAGGGGAAAGTCTGACTCCCGTACATCGAGGGGAAAGTCTGACTCCCGTACATCGAGGGGAAAGTCTGACTCCCGTACATCGAGGGGAAAGTCTGACTCCCGTACATCAAGGGGAAGTCTGACTCCCGTACATCGAGGGGAAAGTCTGACTCCCGTACATCGAGGGGGAAGTCTGACTCCCGTACATCGAGGGGAAAGTCTGACTCCCGTACATCGAGGGGAAAGTCTGACTCCCGTACATCGAGGGGAAAGTGACTCCCGTACATCGAGGGGAAGGTCTGACTCCCATACATCGAGGGGAAAGTCTGACTCCCGTACATCGAGGGGAAAGTCTGACTCCCGCACATCGAGGGGAAAGTCTGATTCCCGTACATCGAGGGGAAAGTCTGATTCCCGCACATCGAGGAAAAGTCTGACTCCCGCACATCGAGGAAAAGTCTGACTCCCGCACATCGAGGAAAAGTCTGACTCCCGCACATCGAGGAAAAGTCTGACTCCCGCACATCGAGGAAAAGTCTGACTCCCGCACATCGAGGAAAAGTCTGACTCCCGCACATCGAGGAAAAGTCTGACTCCCGCACATCGAGGAAAAGTCTGACTCCCGCACATCGAGGAAAAGTCTGACTCCCGCACATCGAGGAAAAGTCTGACTCCCGCACATCGAGGAAAAGTCTGACTCCCGCACATCGAGGAAAAGTCTGACTCCCGCACATCGAGGAAAAGTCTGACTCCCGCACATCGAGGAAACGTCTGACTCCCGCACATCGAGGAAAAGTCTGACTCCCGCACATCAAGGGAAAGTCTGACTCCCGCACATCGAGGAAAAGTCTGACTCCAGCACATCAAGGGGAAAGTCTGACTCCCGCACATCAAGGGGAAAGTCTGACTCCCGCACATCAAGGGGAAAGTCTGACTCCCGCACATCAAGGGGAAAGTCTGACTCCCGCACATCGAGGGGAAAGTCTGACTCCCGTACATCGAGGGGAAAGTCTGACTCCCGTACATCGAGGGGAAAGTCTGACTCCCGTACATCGAGGGGAAAGTCTGACTCCCGTACATCGAGGGGAAAGTCTGACTCCCGTACATCAAGGGGAAAGTCTGACTCCCGTACATCGAGGGGAAAGTCTGACTCCCGTACATCGAGGGGGAAGTCTGACTCCCGTACATCGAGGGGAAAGTCTGACTCCCGTACATCGAGGGGAAAGTCTGACTCCCGTACATCGAGGGGAAAGTCTGACTCCCGTACATCGAGGGGAAAGTCTGACTCCCGTACATCGAGGGGAAAGTCTGACTCCCGCACATCGAGGGGAAAGTCTGATTCCCGTACATCGAGGGGAAAGTCTGATTCCCGTACATCGAGGGGAAAGTCTGACTCCCGCACATCGAGGAAAAGTCTGACTCCCGCACATCGAGGAAAAGTCTGACTCCCGCACATCGAGGAAAAGTCTGACTCCCGCACATCGAGGAAAAGTCTGACTCCCGCACATCGAGGAAAAGTCTGACTCCCGCACATCGAGGAAAAGTCTGACTCCCGCACATCGAGGAAAAGTCTGACTCCCGCACATCGAGGAAAAGTCTGACTCCCGCACATCGAGGAAAAGTCTGACTCCCGCACATCGAGGAAAAGTCTGACTCCCGCACATCGAGGAAAAGTCTGACTCCCGCACATCGAGGAAAAGTCTGACTCCCGCACATCGAGGAAAAGTCTGACTCCCGCACATCGAGGAAACGTCTGACTCCCGCACATCGAGGAAAAGTCTGACTCCCGCACATCAAGGGGAAAGTCTGACTCCCGCACATCGAGGAAAAGTCTGACTCCAGCACATCAAGGGGAAAGTCTGACTCCCGCACATCAAGGGGAAAGTCTGACTCCCGCACATCAAGGGGAAAGTCTGACTCCCGCACATCGAGGGGAAAGTCTGACTCCCGCACATCGAGGAAAAGTCTGACTCCCGCACATCAAGGGAAAAGTCTGACTCCCGCACATCGAGGGGAAAGTCTGACTCCCGCACATCAAGGGAAAGTCTGACTCCCGCACATCAAGGGGAAAGTCTGACTCCCGCACATCAAGGGGAAAGTCTGACTCCCGCACATCGAGGAAAAGTCTGACTCCCGCACATCAAGGGGAAAGTCTGACTCCCGCACATCAAGGGGAAAGTCTGACTCCCGCACATCAAGGGGAAAGTCTGACTCCCGCACATCAAGGGGAAAGTCTGACTCCCGCACATCAAGGGGAAAGTCTGACTCCCGCACATCAAGGGGAAAGTCTGACTCCCGCACATCAAGGGGAAAGTCTGACTCCCGCACATCAAGGGGAAAGTCTGACTCCCGCACATCAAGGGGAAAGTCTGACTCCCGCACATCAAGGGGA